GACATAAATCATAGCAATGTTTTGTTAGGTCAATCTCCCAAGGCAATAGAAATAAAAGCAAAAATAAACAAATGGGACCTAATCAAACTCATAAGCTTTTGCACAGCCAAGGAAACCATAAACAATATGAAAATACAACCTATGGACTGAGAGAAAATATTTGCAAACAATGCAACCAACGAGGGCTTAGTCTCCAAAATATACAAACAGCTCATACTAGTCAGTAACAAAAACCAAACAACCCAATCAAAAAATGGACAGAAGACCTAAATAGACATTTCTCCAAAGAAGACTTACAGATGGCCAACAGGCACACGAAAAGATGCTCGATATCACTAATGATTAGAGAAATGCGAACCAAAACTGCAATGAGGTATCACCTCACACCTGTCAGAATGGCCATCATTAAAAAGTCAACAAACAACAAATGCTGGAGCAGGTGTGGAGAAAAGGGAAACCTTCTGCACTGTTGGTGGGAATGTAAGTTGGTGCAGCCACTATGGAAAACAGCATGGAGGTTCCTCAAAAAACTAAAAATAGAGTTGCCATATGACCAAGAAATCCTACTCCTGGGCGTATGTCCAGAGAGAACTCTAATTTGAAAAGATACATACACCCCAATGTTCATAGCAGCACTATTTACAATAGCCACAACATGGAAACAACCTAAATGTCCACCAACAGATGAATGGATAAAGAAGATGTGGTACATATGTACAATGGAATATTACTTGGCCATAAAGAAGAATGAAGTAATGCCATTTGCAACAACATGGATGGACCTAGAGATCACCATACTAAGTGAAGTAAGTCAGAGACAGACAGATACCATATAATATCATTTATATGTGGAATCTAAAATATGATACAAATGAACTTATTTATGAAACAGACTCACAGACATAGGAAACAAATTTATGGTTGCCAAAGGGGAAAGGGGGTGGGGGAGGGATAAATTAGGAGTTTGGCATTGACAGATACAAACTATTTTATATAAAATAGATAAGCAATAAGGTCCTACTTTATAGCACATATACAGTACACGTATATAAAACCGAATCACTTTGTTGTATACCAGAAACTAACACAACATTGTAAATCAACTGTACTTCAAAACAGAGAGAAGAAAAAAAAAGAACTGGTACATGATCTACCACATTCATTGCCAAGTGATTTTGAAAGCAAGTGTTAGGAGGGAAATTGTATCTTTCTGGGTACTTCATTGACCATGATAAATTGAATTGTAGCTGGCCAGTATTAAACATGTGTTTTAAGCAATGTTATTTTGTTGGCATTTTGTTGGGATAAGGGACTGAGATTTGGCATACCCAGTGTAGCCTAACCTATTCTGACTATTACAGGGGGTTAAAGAAGTAACCTTATATTCAGGGAGCTTGTGATCTAATTGGGCAGAGAAGATGCATTTGCATAATCAAGAAAGAACTAGGTACTTCACTATACCTTTTATTTAACCACATTTATTACTGAGCAAGAGGGAAGTTGATTGTAGCATAGGACTGAGTTTTCAGCATATTCCTGAGACCCTAATTTTAACTAGGAAAAGTAACTTTTTTTTAATGATGCTTTCAGATCATAATTGATCAAAACACCTATGCAGGGGATTAAGATTTGCTGTTAATTAGCTAGTGGATGCATGATATCTTTAATCTGAAACTGGGGGTAAGAAAACCAATTATGAGTTATATCTCTGTTGTTCTTTCTGTCTTGATATTATCTACCTAGGAAATAGAAATAAAATCTTTAAAACAATACACATTTGCTTTGATCGCATCTATTAATCAAAATTGTACTTTATCTTTTTGTTATGTGGGGACAGCCTGCCTGACTACACATACTCATAGCTAATATTGGTTAAATTGGTAATTCATTCATTGGTTAAATTGGTAATTCATTCAGTAAACATTTATTGGGCATCTGGTATAAACCAAGCCCAGCTCTAGATGCTGTGGGTACAGTGGGGAACAAAACAGAGCCTCTAGCTTCATGAATCTTACATTTTAGTGAAGAAGTTGGGGAATAAAGAAGTAAACAAATAACAAACAATATGATATCAGTGAATGAATGCTGTGGAGGAAACTAAAGCAGGGAGATCAGGAATGGTAAGGTGCATGATTTCAGATAGCTTGTGAATCCCCTGGGGAAAAGTATTCCAGGTGTCAGAAATAGCAATTGTGAAGGCTCCAAGACAGGGACATAGTATTTAGAGAATAGCAAGGAAGCTAGTGAGAGGTGTGAGGGAGAGATGAGCAAGGGAGAAGCTGGGGGGAGGTAAAGCCGAAGAGGTGATCAGGAGACAGATATCCAGGGCTTTCTGGACCTTTTCTACACCTGATGGGAAGCCATCCAGGTTTTGAATGTGGGAGAGCTATGATCTGCTTTATATTTTAAACAGATGACCTCAGAGTAGTCCATAGAGAGCAAGAGAACAAACAGGAAGATGGATTAGGAGGCTTAGGCATGAGTCCAGGTGCGAGATGATGGGACTTGGATGCAGCTAGCAAGTGTTGGTTGTAAGACATGGTTGGACTCAGTATATATTTTGAAAGTTTCTGCTGTTAGGATTTGCTGACTGGATGTGGACTTTGGCCTGAGCATCTGGCTGAATGATGATGCCATTTTCTTAGATGAGGAAAATGTTTGAGATGCCGTTACCTATTCAAGAGAAGGTGACCACTGCATCTATGAACCTGGAGTTCAGGGGAGAGGTTAGGGCTGGGGGAATAAGGTTGGGTGTTCAGTTGGTAGGTGGATTTAAGTCCACAAGATTGGATGAGATCCCTAAAGGAGTAAGTGTAGTGGGCCAAGAGAAGATGCCAGAAGACTGAGTCCTGGGGTCCAGCATTTAGAGGTTGAAGAGCTGAAGAGGAACCAGTAAAGAGGACTGAGAAGGAACAGCCCCTGAGGACAGGAGGACAGTCAGGCAAGTGAAGTGTCACAAAGCTACAAGAAGAGAGTGTAAAAAATGAGAGAGGAGTGAAGAACCATGGGAATGCTACTGAGTGGTTGAAGACCTTGACCATGACTTGAGCATTGGAGGCAGCAGCATGAGATCATGGTGATATTAACAGTATCATTGTCAGCAGTTAATTGGGGGAAAAAGCCTGATTGGAATTGGTTCAGGTGAGAAATGAGAGATGAGGAAATAGGGACAGGATACATAGTTCTTGAGAGGTTTTTTTTCTATGGGGGGAGTGGGGGAAAATAGCTATATAGGATATGAGGTCAGAAATATTTAGCTTATATTTTTAAAAGATGGGAATTACTGTAATATATTTGAAAACTGATGGGAGTTTTAGAGGAAAGAATTGACAGAAGGTCTCCTTTAATAGGCAAGAGGGGATGAAGCTAAGGCATTGCATATTCTAGATTTGTACAGATTCGCATAGATGAGTATACATAGTTGTGGGAAGATGCAGTGTTATCTTTTGCATGCTCCTGTTTTCTAAGAAAAATAAGAATCAGGTCATCAGATGAGTGTGAGGAAGAGGTAGAAAATATAAAATAGTTTTCTAGCAGTAATAGTGTAAGATGGTCAGGGAAGTGTGGTAAGGTCATTAGGTAAGGCTGAAAGCCTTTTGAGAGTAGTGTACGATCTTTTTTCTTTCTTTTTTTTTTTTTTTTGCGGTACGTGGGCCTCTCACTGTTGTGGCCTCTCGCGTTGTGGAGCACAGGCTCTGGACGCGCAGGCTCAGTGGCCACGGCTCACAGGCGCAGCCGCTTCGCGGCATGTGGGATCTTCCCAGACCGGGGCACGAACCTGTGTCCCCTGCATTGGCAGGCGGACTCTCAACCACTGCACCACCAGGGAAGACCTAGTGTCCCATCTTTAAAGCAAAACCAGCCAGTATAGTTGTTTATTTTCTCTGGATTGTGTCAGTGTCTCTGGGATAGGGAGAGAATCCAAGGATAATTGTATTTAATCAGGGTTGTAGTTTTGCCAACTGAAGAACGTGGAAGCAGAAAGAGGCCGAGATGGACTGGGGACAAACTCAGGGGCATGATTATTGTGTAGCGTGATGGGTCAGGTGAGATGACAAGGAAGGTGAAGCGATGAGGCTGTGACTGACCGTGAAGAGGTGGTCAAGTCAGTGGGTTTCGGGGCCACTGACATCGAAGTGTTGAAGTTGGGGCATTAGAGGGAATGAGCTGGAAATGCACTGAAGTAAAAAGTTGGCAGCTTTCCTCAAGCTGAATCTCCAAAAGAAGACATTTAAGAAATTACTTACTTTTGCTGCATGGCTGGGGAAAAATGTATTTTTCAAATATGACTTCAACTCATTTTGTATCAGGATATTCACCCTGATATTCTTGGGCAAGTTATGAAAATTAGGCAACTATTTCTGTGTCTTCACTCATAAAAGAAGATGAGTGAGAAAGCAGAACTGAATACTTAGTGATTGTTGGATTCTACTGAATTTCACTGCTTTGTTGCAGTTTAACTGACAGGCTAGAATTGCAGGGATGTCATTTCAGTTAAGCCATTGAGCCTCACATAGAAGATAAAATTGGAATATAAGGTCTTGGTTGACACAACAATAGAAGCTTCGGTGTGTCACATATGAGAGATCATTGGATAGATGTCATCTATTTGATTGCTAAATAATAGCACATAAAGAAATATCCCTCCTGAAGACTTGTCATGTGTATTTATCTTGTGAAGCATCAGCGAATAAAAAAACTTTCTTTGGAATTATAAAGATGTTCTCATCAAAGATAGGGCAGTTGTAAAGTTCGTTATATATATGTAAATATATTTAATGTCACAGATGAATTTTGCCATTATTTTTTACCGTATCTTGGGCATAGAACTATTACAATAGTCAGATTCATTTCCAGTTTATTGAAAAGCTACTGTAAGCATTCTCACATACATTGTGTTTTTAGGAGAAATTCTACTGATGATGAACATATGTTGTCTAGAAGTGGAGCCTTCTGAATTGACAGCAAAATATGATAATTCACTTTTATTAAATATCCAGCTGGCACACTTGGGAAATGTTATCTCAAAAAAAAAAAAAAAGAAAAGAAAATGTTATCTCAGCATCTAGCATTGGTTTTATTTTAGCTTTCAACTTCCCTGTTTATTTTATCCTTTTGGAGTAGGGGAGTTAGGGTTACAAATTTTGTGTTTTCCCTGCATTACTGGTTGTTATCAAATGGTTTACAGGTCAAGATTCCTAGATGTGTCAGGGACTTTATCCCAGAAATACTGACAACTATTGATATAGTTTTAGATTGATTGCTGCATTAATACATGTCTTGGGGTAAATGAATGGTGCACAATACCTTTAGTCTTAATATGACCATTGGTTTAATTTGGTAGAGTTAGGACGAGGCTATGCATTGCTTCATTAACCCATCTTTGACTTCCCAGTAGAATTTCTCCCTTTTAGAGTTATCTTATATTGCCATACTCTTATTGTCCTTAGAACAACAATAACAAACCCTCAAAAGTCACTGGGCTCATCCAGGTGTTCCTTTATTTTCAAAACTTTGACCCAGCCTCTCCTGACAGTGAATGTTTTCAAACACTCACCATTTGAAAAGGAGCAGGGAGTGGAAGGTACTTGTGTATCGTGTGGCTTTTGAAAGTAGCCCTCATTATTAACTCATGCCTCTGCCTGTTGATTGGTTGTTAACTGTTTACGTTATGGACTGAGGTCAGAGTGTCTGCTGTGAACATTTGGGAGTAAGTCTTCTCTCCTCGCAGGTGAAGTTTATAAGTCCTCCATAAAATGCACAGGGATCTCAAAAGGAACAAATGTAGCTAAGCCTGATGCAACCGCTTTATTGCTGCCTTGGAAGTATGTACTTTGCATCTGTGAAGGTGTGTGGTTTAACTGTGGGCGGAACATGTCACTGGAGATTTTACTTTTGCTGTCTTGTCTCTCCGGGTTCAGTGCCTTGAGAATCAAAGGTAGATAACAGTTTGGCAAAGCGCTATAAGGGGCCAATCTTTTTCTACAGATTTTTAGGCCTGTATTTAGCTCTGTATGTTACTACTTCAAGCTCAGCAACTGGAAATTTTGTTTGCACTGAGATTGTGTTTTCTTTAAATATGCAAGATAATAGCACTTTCATACAAACTACATTATATGTATATATTTTATTTAATCTCATCAAGAGGGTTTGTTTTTTTTTTTAAACTGGTCTTAAGCTAATTTGGCATCCATCTCTTTTCAAAGAGAAGCATATCCAAGGAGATCGCTCTGTCTGGAGGATGGCTATCCCCTTAAAAACTGAAATAGGTCAGTGTTATTTTAAACCCCCAGTGAGTAGTGACTTGGGATTTTATTTAAGTACTTAATTTCCTGAAAAAAACAGTTTTTGAGACGGAATAATTATTATGCTACTGAATAATTACATTTTCTTCTCTGTTCCCAGTGTTCTTAGACTTTAGAGACAAATGTTTTTTAAAAAGACCACAAAAACTTCCGGGGCAGATGTATTTTGGAATTCAGGACTTTTTTGGATTTTAGCAGGGTCTGATGTGGCACTTTTTAATCAAACGCACTAGGATTTCTGCAGTGAAACACGAATACTCACATGAAGTGGGATAAAAATGACAATAACCTCATAACAGTTCAGGTAAGGTTTTGCCTCCTATAGAGTCTTGGTATCAAACTTAAAAATCAACCAACCAAGTAACCAAAACTGTGTTTTCAAGCGCTATGTGCCTGACGTATTACCAAGTATGACCCTGAACATTAAACATTCTACTTCAGAGTTTTCTGGGACCCTGATTGTTGTATGAATTTGTGCTGTAAACTTGCATGGGTTTTGGTTTGTCGTAATGAAATTTTAGGGTTGATTTTATTTTCTTCTTCTTGCATCCATGGCCAAGATGTGAGACAGGCAGGGCTCCTGGCACTCGTCTATGTGTTGTTTGTGGTGGTGGTGGTGTTGGTGCTGGTGCTGGGAGGATCTCCTCTACGTGTAGGCACGCAGCTGGAAAAGGGAGCACAGGCTGGATTTCAGCACTTCCCTGTTTGCTGTGGCCCTGCTGTTGGGCCTTAAACCAAAGCTCAGGGATCCTGGAATTAGACAAGTGACCTCAAGCAAAAGCCAGCTTCAGTGCTTAGCTTATTTCACAGGAATCATGCATGTGGATGCATGTAGATATATATATGAGACTCTGTGTATATAGGTATGAGATGCTATGTGTATATAGGCATATATATATGTATATATGAAACTCTATGTAGAGATAGGTACATGTATGAGACTCTGTGGAGATATAGGTATATATGTAAATATATGTACATATATATAAATATATGTAGCTAGTAGATACCTGAAGTATTTTAAAGAGAGAATGGTGTCAGGGTGATGGGCAGTATAATTAGTTCTTCTAGTGCCACTGTAACCTATCAGCCTGGATTCACGCATCTGCTCCTTTAATCTTATGCCCACCCCCACCGCTTTTGGGGGAAGAGAGTAAATGTAGGTCTGGAAAGCTTGATGTGTTGTAAATTAGGGGGTAGAAGCTCTGTTCTGAGAAAGCAGTGGTTCACAGTCCTTTCAGGTAATCACCCGTCATCCACTCAATTAGCAACTTAATATGTGATTTGCAGATTAAGTTAGTTTCAAATGGATGTTAATTTTCATGTCAAAATTTATTAAGCAGCATCCCACTAGAGTGAAGGTGAGTCCTGTAATCATTAGAGCAATATGGCATTGCACTGTGGTTCTCAAATTTGGCTGTACGTTGGACCTCCATGGGGAGCTTTAAAAATACTGCACCTTGGGAGTCACTCCCAGAAACTCTGATGTATGTGGTCTGGATGTGGCCTGGGGCATCAGCAGTTTTAAAAGCTCCCCCAGTGCTTCTAATGTGTTTTTAAATTTGAGGATTACTTGACAGTAGTTAATTATATGGGTGCCGCATTCAGATTAACTAGGTTCAAATAAATCCTGGCTCTGCCACTCACTAGATGTGTGACCTTGGCAGGTTTCACAATGTCGATGTGGAAAACGGGGGTGATAATGATGACAGTATCTCCATCTTAAAGTGTTGTCATGAGGATGAAATGAGTAAATGTATGTAAAATGCTTAGAGTAGTGGCTGGCACAAAGGAAACATTTGTTGTTATTTTAAATATACTACTGATTAAAAAATTATTACTGTTGTTGGATATTTTCTGTCAAAAGTATTTAGAGGGCGGTAAGAAATTAAATCAAGTTTTGCATAGTACCAACCTAACAGTCTGATATCTCCAATTAGTTATCATTATCATTAAGAAAATTATCTATTTTCCCCATAGTATTTAAAAGTAAACCAGGACTTGTGACATCATGCTGATCAGAGCATTTATAAAATATTATTTAATTTCTTTGTTCTCATTGTAAAGAGTCAGTTTTGTTAATTTGTAAATTCATTTATTTATTCATTATTTGTATACCCAACAAGGTAATGTGATACAGCCTTGCACTTAAGGATTTTATAGTCTAGGAAAAAAGAATACACACACCCACACATACACACACACACACACACACACACACACACACACACACTACACACACCATGTCTGAATATATGAACAGACACAAGATGAAGATAAAATCCTAATCAGGCTTTTATATTTTGTCTTTCCCATAAACTAGCCTATCTTTTGTTTCTCACGAAATAGAATGGATTACTTTTTATTATAAACATAATGCATGTTCACTGTAAAAGAGAGATAATTAAGAAAGGTATATAAAAGAAAGAGAAAATTACCTATGATCCCACCACCTAGAAGTAAGAACTATTGTTAATGTTTTTATTATTTACTCTTATCAATTTTTCTGTGTATTCACAGGCTGACACCTTCTTTTACAGACTTTTTCTCAGTGTATTCATAGGCTGCCATAGTTGTTCCAATCCCACATAGCCTATGCAGGTATCAGCATGTCCAGTCCTGGGTACCTTGGGTGTCCTCCAGACATCAGTGCAAGTGTTGGAACTGGCAGGCTGATGGGAATATGTGAAAACCTAATTGATTGTCTTTATACACATCTGACCAAAATCAGTGGGAAGATCAAGAAGTCGGTGATACCCAGGAGTTCTTCCCAAAAGAGGGCTCAAGGTAACTTTGATGCAGTCCTCAAATTCCTTCTTAACATTTGAAGACCTTTGGTTTCTTTGGAGGACAACATGCTCCCAAACTCCTATAGACCTTGTCTCCAAGAGGTCCTGGCTAGGGCACGTGTGAATTTACCTCTGTCTTTACAGCATTTGCATTTTGCTGCTTCTTTTTATAAAGCCCTTACTAGAAGGAGAGCAGAGCACTGCCAGAGCAGCTGGGAGGTGATGCTTCACTGTGCAACCTCCATAGACACCTTGACACCGCATGGTTAAATTCTGGTTTCTGCTTCACTCCACGGGGGTAAAAAGAGGATAAAGTATGCTGGAGCCATACCCTCTTCTGTTCTTGTTTTGTCTTCCTCACTCTAACTTTATTGATAATCTTACTAGTTTTTTTTTATATATAATTAATTTTTATTTTTTATTAAAAAATGTTTTTATTGAAGTACAGTTGATTTACAGTGTTCTGATAGTTTTAGGTGTATGGTGTATGGCAGAGTGATTCAGTTATACATACATATATATGTATTTTTTTCAGATAATTTCCCTTATAGGTTATTACAAAATATTGAATACAGTTCCCTGTGCTATACAGTAGGTCCTTGTTGATTATCTGTTTTATATATTGTAGTGTGTATATGTTAATCTCAAACTCCTAATTTATCCCTCTCTCCCTTTTCCCGTTTGGTAACCACAAGTTTGTTTTCTATGTCTGTGGGTCTATTTCTGTCTCGTATATAAGTTCATTTGTTTGTTTGTTTTCTTAGATTCCACATATAAGCGCTATCATATGATATTTGATTTTCTCTTTCTGGCTTACTTCAAACTGACAAAAATTAAAGATAAAGAGAAAATATTAAAAGCAACAAGGGAAAAGCAACAAATAACATACAAGGGAATCGCCATAGGAGTATCAGCTGATTTCTCAGCAGAAACTCTGCAGGCCAGAGGGAGTGGCACAATATATTTAAAGTAATGAAAGGGGAAAACTAGTTTTTAATAGTTATATAATATTCTCTTGTACGGACGTCCCCTTATATAATCAACTGCTTGTATAACATTTTAATTATTTTTAGTTTTTCAATATTCTGATTAACTCTACGATCAGTATTCTTTTACTTGGGACTTGTTTCTAGATGGAGGATTGCTGGATTAAAAAATGTGTACATGTAACATATATGCTTGTATATATGTATATATATCCAAATTATCCCACAAGACTTGTGACCATTTATATTCCTGCAAGAGGGCATTACAATTTCCTTTTCCCAGAGCCTTGCCAACACTGGTTATTTACTGTCCTTTCAAGCTTTGTAATTAAGATAAATAAAACTGTATTGACTTATAATTTTTTAATGGTAGAGTTGAGGATCCTCCCATAGCTTTCTTAGACTTTTGTATATTAATTTCCTCATCATATTTTTGCTCACTTTTTCACTGAATTGTTCTCCTTATTGGTTTGTAATGGCTCTGTATATAATAAAAACATTAAAAAAATTAGTCTTTGCCTATTTTACATAGTACAAATATTCGCCCCAGTTTTCCTAAGTTTAGTTTTATTCTTCCTTCTAGAATGCTAACTTTTATGTAATCCTGTCTTCCAGTCTTTTTCTTCATTGTCTCTAGCTTTGATGGCATGCATAGAAAGCCCCTTCCTACCGCGAGGTTATAAAGCTATTGGAAAATGCTGTTAAATGCCACTTTTCATATTTATTAAATGCTCTTGAAAAATTTGCTCTATGCTGAAGTCCTCTAATTCTTCCTTTAACCTGTCTTTTCCTATGCCTGTTCCTTACCATTGTGACTACAGCAGGATACCCATTTGTATCTACATATAAAGCCATATGGGTTCAGCAAATACACCTGTTACTCTTCTTAAAAATTTTTTTTCAGCCTACTCTTGAATGTTTATTCTTTTAAATGACTGTTAAACATTTAGTAAAGTTTCAAGAACTTTGCTAGTTGTATTTAGATTACATTAAATTGTTAGCTAGTTCATGGGAGAATCAGCATCTTTGTAGTTTTAAGTCTTTCAATCTAAGCTAGCCTGTAGGCATTGCCTGTCTTTATCCCCTTAAGTTTGTTTTTTTTTCAAATTCTCAGTGAGGGTGTCAAAATTCTCAAATCTCCCTGCACCAGGATTCCTCTCCCCTAGAACCCTGTGACGACCCCCCATTCCCACAGTGTCAGCCTGGCGCTACAGTTAGTTTACCCTTCCTTACGCTTCTGCATCCGTATCTCCAACTTCATTCATCCATCATGGTTGTAGCTTATGTCTTTAATTATTTCCTCCATCTTCTATTATGTTTATTATTTAAATATTCTACTTTCTCCTTTTCTACTTTTACTGGATTTATCAGAATTTGTAAATCTCCTTTAACTCTGATTTGTTCATTCAATTAAATACATCTATTTTGCCAATTCTCATCTTCCTGTTTCTAACAGTCATATATAAGACCATATTTGGATATTTGGTGTATCCACAGATACACCAAAATTAAAGAACATCTTAGATGTC